GACAAACACCAACATCTCCCGCATCATCCGCCTTGGAAAAAGTCAAGCCGAGGCACAGCATTGTAACCCACGCTGGTGCACAGGATGCGGTGGGACCACATGGCCTGAGAACTCTACAATCACTTGCATCCCTTTCTCAGTATCAATGATTTGCATGTTCATCTGCGAGGGTCTCCAAAAACCATTCAGGAAGTGGTTCTTTTCAGCGTGTTCTGGGTTGGACCGGATCATTCTTTCGACATTCCGATTTGCACGCCATGGTTTCTCGTTTTTCGTTTAGGGCCCAAGCATTGCCACTCAATCAGCAAGCTTGTCGCTCTACAATGCTTTGGGGTCACTGATCGCTGCACTTGACTTCTTTTGGGGGATTTCGTTGTTTCACTCAGAACTGCCTGGTTGTGAGCGAGGTTCCGTGCTTATGTACGACTAGCAACACGCAGGAAAACAAAGCAAAACTGACACAAACAGGCACGTGAAAGACAACTGACCTTGCATGGTCGACTAAAGCACAAGAGATCACAAGAGGAGCAATGGACTTGTCCTCTTCATGCAACAGACTGAGGAACCCGCGTGCAAACAGGCGAGTGCTTCTTGCCAAAGGCTTCCACGCTCGCAGGCAGTGATGCAAGAATTGAATGATATAGCGTCCTGACCATAGCGGAACGGTGCACACGCGAGGCCATGCGGTTGCACGTCATGACGGCTGGTGTGCCACCACGCCACGCATTCTACCAAAGCAACACCCATCATATCCAGCAGCTGCAGGGACATTTGCCAATACGTACCTTAGATGAAAGAGCCCCTTGAATCGAGCAACACTGGTCCATACAAGGCTGCCTGGGCAAGTGTGCCAACCCAGTGCAAGCAACACTGTTTCTGGCTGGACTGCTACACGCATTTGCAGCATACGCATGCAATCTGTGCCGCTGCCAAGCTTCGGCTGCAAGCGCTGATGACGGCGTTGTAGGTAATCTGGTCAGGCAGAATCCGCATGAGGTTCCTGAGTGAACTTGCAAACTCTGGCCGATTCTGGCAGTTTCGCCATGTTGGGCACTGTGATGTCTAAGTCATGAATGACACTTGAAGATAAGACTCATGATGCTCAGAACATGCACAGCCTGCTCCCACTGTCCACCCTTCTCGCAAGAGCTGAGGACGGCATTGCAAACCAATACGTTGGGCTCCGCTCCAAGCTGCCTCACAAGAACCAGCACTGCCAAATGAATCTACGCATGACCTTGCTTGGTAGATGCCTCGCAAGGGCTGATGCTGAGAGTGATACGTCATGTTTCTGAGCAACGCCATGGCAACTCGCCACTGCGCGGCTCTTTCACCTTGCAGCTGTCTCGTCATGGAAGCACCCAATCATCCAGACAAAAACTTGTTTGTAGTCACGTCCGCAAGTGATGGTGAATGATATGCAGCTCGCTCACATGCGGATGCGGCCGCGCCCCACGTGATCACATCCTGATGAAGTTGGGAGCGGGGGATGGGATCTACGTGCTGGCCTTAAGAGCACTAACTAGGTTCCGCCGTGGTGCTGCTTGAAGGGAAGTTTGCTGGAGAGAGCCTTGCAGACGGCACGAGGGAGCTCTTAGCTTCAGCTTTTTGTGGTTGTTGGGGGTTCGGGGTGACGATAGAGTCTCCTCGGGTTTTGCTTTGGGAGCCTGGTGATTAACACCGCTCATGAGTTTGACGTGAGGCTTTGGCGTAAAGTTGGAGCGGTGATGCTCAAAAAAGATCAAAAGTCTCAGTGACACCATCTGATTCTGATTGAAGGTTGGAGTTGCCGGTGTGAGTAAGAGCCTTAAACTTCAGCTTTGAGAATGCAGCTGGCTCGAAGCTTAGGCGTGTGGGTTAAGGCTTCTAACCGGGGGTTTGGGGTTCAGTCGGCAATTTTGCTGGCAAGGTCTTGGGTGGGTTTGGTTCCGAAACGCAGCTTTCAGGCTCAGGATGATGACTCGTCTCCCGTTACAAGCTCTAAGGCTTAACAGCGAAACCTGTGCCCGCGCGGTGGTTACGGCCTGATGCATTCATCCTCGCCTGTGCACGCCTTGTGCTGTACGAACAGGACTTGTTTCGGCAAGCTGCGGAACAATGCGAAGGCCAGTTCCCACTCACCAGCTTTGGCAGCAGCGCTAATCGCGCTGTTGAACAAGGCAATGTCAAGCTGAACTCGCTGGACCTGCAAGATTCCGACATGGACCAATTTGTGAAAATGACTGCCCTTCTGCTGAGATGCTGTGGAGTGCACGTGTGTGCCATGCCTCCATGTCGGAGAGATAGTGAAGCGCCAAAGGCCATTGCGCGCTTGCTTCGCATGCCTTGATAATCGCACCTGCAAGTGAGGGCATGGAGCAAAGGAGCAAAGAGAGGACGAGGCACACCGACGTCAAGGCACTGTTCCGCTCTCTGCTCCAAGGAACTGAGCACGAAGCTGTCCGGTTGGATATCCGCCTCTGCATACGCTGACAGGACCCCGTGCGACCACCGCCACTGCAAGGAAAGTGCAGCAAACGAGTCTGAACAGCTGCAGTCACCGCGCCTGCGTGCCTTCAAGGCAAGCGAAAACGTGCTGCCAACGATCAGCTCCAGAAAGTGAGGACAGTATTGTACTTAACGTGAAGTGATCGCTCTGAATGTGGCTGATCCACCTGAACAACGTGAGCAACGCAGCTGGGTGCTTGTCCGATTTTTTTGACATCGGAACTGTGCAGCCAGGCTTCATTGACTGAAGGACGTGGAGTGCGCTGTGCCAGAGACTGACTTTCCTGGATCTAGCACAACCGTGCGGCTGCGTGTGCACCACAGGAAAAATGGATACCATGTTCAAGCCTAGCAACTGCTCTCCAGATTTAAGCACAGCGCCTAGGTTTTTGCAGGTTTTTGACAGAAACCGTGTTCCTTTTCTATGGTTCAGGGCTGCGATTCTTGTGCATGGCGTGCCCAATCAACGCTCCCCCGTTTCAGTTGATGCTTCCTAAGCAGTCCTACCCTCCCCCGCCCCTGATTTTCATGATTTTCAGGGCATTCCCACCCCAACATCCCCTCGCCCCGCCCCCTTCTTAGGTTTCAGGGCTTCGGGTTCAGGATTCAGGGTTTTTGTTTTCGGTTTTTGAACTTGTGGGCTTAGGATTGTGCTCAGGGCGTCCTTGGGCGTTTCTGGCCCAGCCGAAAACCGGCACGCTGATCGACTGAAGTATTGCCAGGCTTCCCGCAGGCGCTCGCAGCGGCATTGCAGCCAACATTGTCCTCCATGAAGCCCTGTGCTTTCGGCCATTGAAATTTGTGGTTCTTGAAACTTGCGGGGGCATTGGTTGGCTTCCCGGCGCGCCCCAATGTTCGACACAGATTCAAGATGTGACACGTGAGGCCTCGTTGCGGGAAAGGAGGTGCAATGCAGAGTTCCATCTGTTGACGCGAGCGCATGCCGCGGTCCCCGTGTTGTAGCTGATCGCCTCAAGCTGCTCTGGTTGAGATGCAGGCTGGCATCGAAAGCAAGAAAATCTTGTCGGGAACGCCGGAGGGAAGGTGGGGGAGTGTTGGCCCAGGCGCGTCCGCAAGCATGCCCAGGGACTGGAAGGTGGCAAGACGACTTAATGTGCTCCGCCAGTGGCCAGCACGCTCGTAGGCCTTCATTACCTGCAGCTCGGGACGAGGGTTACGAGCCTTGGGACAACTTTTTGGGGCGGAACTGAAAGCAGAGTGCGCAGCCCCATGAAGTTCGAACCGGATACGCTGTTCAATGTCACCGTCGTGGCGCGAACGTGGCTCCTGCACATGATGTTGTAGAACTCCTCGGCCGATGCCCAATTGCTGACCTCAGGGAGAGCACTTGTCCAACATGCCTGAGCAGTTTCATTCGGCGTAGCTCTGAACCGCAACCTTCGAGCAGGAGTTGATGGCCACGTTGAAGGTGATGGCATCAGCTGCCTGGACTCACAGTGTACTTGCATGCAAGGCGTTGGGACAGACCACATCCATGTTGCGCAGTGCCTCTCGTGCTTGCCTAGCTGCCTTGGCACGACTGCTCAGCGAGCTGAGCAAGTTCAGCGCTTGCTGCAGCTTCCGCTGTTGTGCAAGACTGCGGCTGGCCTGGCAGATCAAAAACCCTCGGGCCCCAATGAGTCCCCGCCGAGTCTGAAGCCCAAGTGCGCCTGGGCAGCTTCTCTGGGTTGAAGACCGCGCATCGTGTCCATGCTTGCCGTCCAAGACTTCGACGGGCTGCGGAGACAGCACGCCTGTGTCCAGCAAGCACTGAGGAGTTCAGGGTTGTTGATGCTGCACGGAAAGATGCAGTTTTGAAGAGCAGAGAAAGTGAGCATCATCATGTGGCATCGAAAAGCAACAGGAGCTATGCTTCTTGATTTCAGGTTTGGGTACAGGTGGAGCGGTTCAGCCCGCACTGAGGGCGAAGGGCCTGAAACTTTGGGTTTGAGGGCTGAAGGTATTCGGGGTTCAATTTAGAGTTCAACATGTAATTGCAGACCTCTAAAAAAAAACTGAGGTTTAGGTTTTTGGGCACAACCGCGCAAAAGCTCATGGCGTCATTGGTTGGGGTTGGATCTGGAGTTCATACTTTTAAATGGCTCTGAGGCTCACAGCTTCGGGTACGGGTTTAGGAAGTCGGGTTGCAAAACCATTGCAGGACTGGCTCGATGCTCGACACTTGACCTTCTTGATGCGGACCGCTGGCTAAGCTTTGTTGATGGATTTGGGGCTGTTGTCTTGCCTTCTAGAAGCCGGCAAGGATGTCGATTCATGAGCCTTATCCTGGCAGCTTCTTTTTGGTATTCATTCCCATGGGTCCTTCCACGAAGACTAAAACTTAAAGACATCTGTGTACGGCATGCGCTGTCACTCAGGGTGAGGGCGCGCCGTGAGGATGCTCAGGCAGATGCTTGTGGCCTGGCCTTGAAGCCCCTCACAGAACTAACAGAACTGATGTTGTAACTATTGGGGAGAACGAATTTAAGGGAATTTCAGGCACTCCGGCCTGCCTAGATAGGGATGAAAGAAAAGACATCCAAGCTGGGCTGGTCGAGGCTGGGCAGCGTCTCACCGAGGCCTGCCGAGGTTGTGCTATTTGGCTGCGCCAAGCTTGCCAAGGTCTCCATGATGCTGACCGCCTCGCCAGCGCGTTTCTTCACAATGCGCTGCACATCTCTGTAGTCTGCGCCCGTCTCTTTGCCAATGCTGGCACGGATCGATGAAAGCTTGCCAGTCAAGTCACGCACAGTCGCTGGATCGGTGCCTTTCAAGACTTTCTCCAAGCTTTTCAGCTCCTCCCGAAACCCGGCACACAAAAGCTCGTATGTGCCTCTGACTTTGTCATGCCTGCGAATGCAGGGGTACATTGCTTCAAGAACTGCCGGTACGACGCCCGGCGGCATGACCGAACAAAGATTGCACGAAAAGAGAAATCTCCCATCAGGGTTCGCTACCGGCAAGATGCCTGCTGAGATCACTGTGCACTTGTTGACAAGCAATGGGCTGGCAGCAGATGTAGGAATGATCTTGAATTCGCTGCCATGCCTCGAGTAGCATTCTCGAGCATACCATTTGGGAGTGTTGTATCTGCCATGCTGCCATAAAGTGGCCTGCTTCCACGGAACTTCGTGGGCGTACTCGATTGCTTGCACCAGCTGCCGTGCCGGGGCACCGTAGTGAAATCGAGCGAAGACATCGCCTTTCCCATGATTACCACTGGACACGCTCTGGATTGCGTCCGAGTGCTTTCGCAAGTAAGCGTGCAAAAACGACGAGGTTATCTCTGGCGATTTCGGAATAAACCGCACCTCCATTGCCGCTGCGCAATCACCTCCGACCACCTCAAGCGTTCCCGTGGTAAATGCTGAGGCTATGCACCACCGGAGCAGCCATTGTCTCTTCGGGTCGGGAGTGCACATTCCAAGCAAGGCCTTGATGTCACAATCCGGCGCTGCGGCGGGGCACGCCTCCGGAGGTTCCAAGTCAGGAGTCAGCATTTGCTTGCGTCTTTCCCGCACGTGACGAATGGTTTCGGCTGGCATCTCTGGCGCCAGCTTCAGCTGATGTAAGACGGACCTCAGCTGGACGACCGTCTCCTCGATCTCATGCAAGCGTTGGAGGCTGAAGAAGTGTCCCAGACACCATGACCACTCTTCATGCAAACTCCAACCGGGATCCTGAACTTGCTGTTGCTGCCAGGCACGGTATGCTTGTAAGCCGGCGATGAGGTCACTTGGATACGCATTGCAAGCTAGCCCAGGGTGGGGAGGAAGATCCTGTACACACACGTCCCGCACTGCCACAAATCGCTGGCTTTCCTGGACGCAAGCAATGGGCTTTCAGACTGTTAAGCCTGTTAAGCTTTCTGGGGCCTCCTTCCTGCTTACACTTCAAGAAGGCCATAGCCAGGACCCCTGCATGAAACCCTCGGCCACAAGTCTCCTTCAAACTCCAGTTGGGGTTCTCCAGGAAAGGCAAGCCCCGCTGAATGATGCTGGCCATGACGCAGCAGTCATGGACCACGCCAAAATGAACCTCAGCTCCGGGCAGGAAGCATGCGACTCCATCCCGGTGATGCATGTGCCTGCGCAGTCAGTTATGGAACTTGTCATCAGCTTGAGGGTTGCGATGTGTTGAAAGAACTTGATGATGCAAAAGTTCTTCTCCAACAGCAAACGCGCTGCTGGTGTAAGGCTCTCTTGCAACTCGTGCTGCCCAAACCTGCCCAAATTCTTCATACACTGAAACGTACAGCAGGTTTGGGGTTTGTCCTGAAGCTATAGCTTGGTCCGAGAAACTCCGTTCATGACCAGGATGCCCACCTCTGGATCCACGGGCATCCTGGGCAGGCCAGCGCTCATTACACCACTACAAAATCTTGAGCCCTCCATTGTTTTTTCCGCTCAGCTTTCATGCAATAAACAGGCCATTGCCGAAAACCAGACAAAAAAACTCCCGAATGCCCCAAAGCCCAGCCTTTGAAGGAGCCGCCCGAACTCGGTGAGCTTCGGTGTTCCATCCTCTTCTTTGTCCACGGCGCGCAGCTCAAGCAACCTCTTGGCGGCCGCTAGCACCTGGTTCTTGAAGAGTGTTTAGGGTGGAGGCGACGTTGAGACTTACCGCCCCAACTGGTCCACAGCCTTAACTACATCTGGGAACCTTCTCAGACCGATGAAGCGCTCAACTCTCAAGCCAGAGACCCCGAGGAGGCCTGCTCAGCTTGAGGAGGGTCCGGCAACTTGTTCAGAAACTGCTCTGGTGTGCCAACAACTTTCCAGTGCTCAAAGATGGTGAGGATCACATCTTCCAAGCGAGCGTGCTTCATGCCAGGATCCACGTGCTGCTTGAGGTCCTCGTACGCCGCCTGTGTCAGCATCCGTATGACGTTTCCTTCGCGCAGCCGCCCAGTGCGACCCGCGCGCTGTGCGGCCTCATCTTTGCTGATCTTCAAGGTTGTCAAGAAGCTTTGCTTCGAATTGGCATTCCACCGTGGACGCTTGTGCTCACAAAGATCAATGACAACATCCACATCATGGATTGTCACGGACGACTCGGCCACATCCGTTGCCAAGATGACACGACGCCTCCACTTCTCACCTGCTTTCTTCCCCGCAGCTTTCAGAATGGACATTTGCACTTCCATTGCTATGGTTGCATGCAGGATGCTCACCTTGAGCTCCGGCTCTTTCTCCAAGCTCCCCCGCAGCTGGTACAGCTCACCTCTGCCCGGAAGGAAGACCAGAAACGAGGAGGCTTGGTTGCAGGTGCGGTGAAGCTCAATGATAAATGTTGCCAACAACTCCCAGCGAGCCCTGCCTGTCGTGGTGGCAAGCACCTGCTCCCATGAACCAAACAAATGCTGTGGCACTTTAGGAAGCAGCGCCCCCTTGTCTAGGAAGTGCTCGTTGATCGTGAATGGCCTCTCATCTTGAAGGTCAATAAAGGCAACTCCCTGACCACAAGAAGCTTCGGATTAGCCCTTCATGTGCTCCTTGTCCATAGCCGCAGACATTAACACGAGCTTCAGCGCAGGCAACTTTTTCAGAACTGTATGGCACACCACCGCCAACAACAGGTCAATCAGAGTGTCACGGGTGTGCACCTGAGGAAGGGTTTTTAAGGTCACAACGTGTCACAACAGCAAATATGTCGAGCCCAGGGCGTGGATTTGGGTGTAGGGGGCTGAGAACCCACCTGGCCCAAAGACCATCATCCGAACTGCTCCGGGCTTTGCCCTTTTCCTGGTGGGACCCTCCGGTCCATCCACCGATTTCGCGAGGCGTGAGCTCGCCAAGGCGGGTGCTGCCGGGTGGTGCTGGGGCTTAGTTTTTGGATGTGTTGCTCCCCTCGACCTAAGGACCTAAGGATGGCCTTGTGCTCTGCTTATCTGCTTATCTTACCGACAGCTCCCGTTTTGATTTCAGTGTTGACCGCAACTAATGGATAGTGGGAGCCTCATCAACAATGATGACATCGAAGTCGGGGCTACAGTCCAAACAGTTGAGAAGCGCAATGCCCGCAACAACATAGGTCAGGCGAGTTTTGTCTGAACGCACTTTGCAGCCACCAATCTCATAGCCAACAAGGTCCCCAAGGTTTGTCTTCGTTCGCCGCGCCACGTACGCTGCCAAGGTAGTGGCTGCAATGCGTCGCGGCTGGGCGCACAGAATCTTTGTTGCAGGCGCGCGCATCTGCGCCTCTGCCAGCAGCATTTGTGGAAGGTCTGTGGACTTGCCTGAGCCTGTAGGAGCCACGAGGATTGTTACCTGGGACTTGTTCATGGCTTCAAAGATTTGAGGCCATGCCCGACCGACCAGAGACGAAAGGTCGGGCGACAAGTCTGAAGCGGGCTTTGCCAGCGGCGCGTGACGCTTGTGACCTGGTTCAGCCATGGCTTCATCAAGCTACCATCATGCTACATCATGCGAACCAGTTTTTCCAAGTTTGGCATGACCTCTGATGACACTGCTGTTGTGGACCATCGTGCCTTGCTGAAGCGCGGTACGATTTGGACGTGTGATCCTGATTTGCATGTGTGATGGTCCTGCCTGGACGGGGGCCAAGCTAAAACCAAGCATAGCTGCAGAAGAAGTTGACACAATCCATGCTTTCTTCCAACCCCCGAACACAGCTCGCGTCCTCGATTCAGTACGGATGCAAGGTTCCGGTGCAAGAGCTGTGCTAGTTGCGAGGTGCAGATGGATGCTGCAAGACATAGGATATGTCTGCAGCCAGTCTGACGCAGGAGAAGTAAACAACAACCCGTTATGCATCTCATGTGTCTGAAAAACCAGGACAGAAGCCTGAAGTCTCGCAAAGTCTTGAAGCCTGCATGCAATGTAAACCCTACCTATGAACACTGAATGTCCCAAAAAAACTCACAGCCCTGCCTGCTCGGCCTACGCACATGCCAGGGAGGTCGGAGAAGAAACCTAGGAAGTAGACAAGAAGCTGACAAGGGCATTCAGTTTGGTCCAGAGACCAAGGTTTTTGATCAAAACTCAGCCCCTTACGGCTATGTAGCATCTTCATTTGCCACTGGCTCCCACTCAGCTTCTGCACACAAAAAGCAGACACAAGGTGCACAAACACCTGCTCCTTGCAAAGCCGCACTGAGCGGATCTACCTGGTCCAGTAGCGGTCCAGGCTCAACATGGCTGCCGCTGCCACATGGCGAAAGGTCAAGCAAAGTTGGGGACTCAGCTCTATCCGAGCCTGAGCTGGGGTGGGGGGGGTTCCCCAAAATACGTACTTTTGCCTGAGACACGTGGTACCATCACCTACCTCGCACGTACACAAGAAGACAATGTATGGTACCACTTCGATCGTTCCCATCCTCTTCCTAGGCACAAAAGCTGCTGCATGCCATTGTGTTGACATGATCGATGAAAGAGATGCGAGCGGCAACCGATTGTTGTGAGCGATTCCAAAGCATGATAGCATTGCATCCCGGTGCCCACAGCTGGGACCGAAGCAAGCTTGCCTCATGCGATTTTCAACCCGGGCAGGCGGTCGCGGCACTTGCATTTCTCACGTTGCACGGTTTGGGGAGCGGTATCGACCTCAGACTTGGACTTCTTCTTGCAGCGTCAATGCCCGAGACATCGAAGAATCTTCTCAGCCAAGTGACAGGTCCCAATTCTTGAGATCATGATGGATCACGCCTCGTTTGTAGAGCGAAAGACAGGAACCCCTTTGCCGACCTGCACGCCGATGAGCTACCTCTCATTGAGGAATCTGCAAAATGTAGTGCTGAAAGTCTGTCAGGCAACGGCCCAGCGCGACAGCAGAAGCGGAATCCTTGCCAACTGCGGTGGTCAGGGCGGCAGTGAGGTCCGCAGGCAAACGATCCACCACCTCCTTAGAGAAAGTGAGTGCCGCATTCGGGACAAGCAGAGAAGCAGACAACCAGAAAGCTCGCCTCACTTGCGCTCCGAGCAGCATGTTCTCCGGTCATGCCGTTGAAGATCAGGCAGTGGCGATGCAAAAAGATCGACTCGCAAACGCTGAAGTCCAACTGCTGCGTCTGTAGAGCCTGGTCGCACGTAATTGTAGGTGCTCTTCCGAGTCCCGAGATATGTGAAACAATTGCGCATACGGTGTCCATGCGAGGCTGGCAAGTTGCTGTGTACTTCTCGTCCCGCACGACTGCGTGCCCCGTAAACGAGCAGTGGCTGCGAATCTGGTGGCGGCGGCCAGTCGTGATCCGCACCTCGTGCAACATGAAGGTATGCTAGCGACGGGTCTTCAAAATGCCGCGGCCCATGTGCTGCGTTGTCAGAGGTTGCGTCCAACATTTGTCGCAAAGCTGCCACTGTCAAAGTCGCCGTGCCAACAGCGAGCAGAATGTGTGCCAGGACCTCCCACAGATGCGTATTGCAAGGCTCAACTAAGCTCATGTCTGCCTCAGAAGCCCAGCGTAGCACGCATTTGTCGCCGACCTTGAATTCCGTGCGTGCAGGCTTTCCGACACAGCTGGAGTGAGTTGGTCCGTCTCCTGTGGTTCAAGTCTTAGCGCGTCGGTGTTCCCCGCATGGGTAATGCACTGGAACGATTGACGCAGCAGTGTGCTACATGGCTGACTGGACGCGGCAGTCCTTGCCATGTGACGTGTGCATCCACCCTGCGTTGCCGCTGGGCCATCCACCCATGACCTAGGTGCAAACCCATGAATGCGAGTCTGTCGGCTGACTACCCCATTGCCAATATTTCTCCATGTCCAAGCCGGGGCTACGGCACAAGACGGTATAATCGCGCCGAATCTCCTGAGCTGACATCTCTGCTTTGAGGTTTTCGCCAATCCTACTAGTACGGAACAATACGGATTCAGCTTCTTTGATCGAAGTCACCCTGTCCATTTCTGATTGCAGATTTTGACTTTCTTCGCCTTCTTTTCTAAAGTTGATTGCTTGGGCTGCTTTGGTTTGGAGATCGGATTAGGGTGGCTCAAGCGGCTGTTCGACAGCCTGAGCATGATGGTATGTTACGTGGTTACTTGGCTGCGTCATGATGCGGTGCCCTGATGACAATGCTGACGATTAGAGACGTTGCGGAACTCATTGTGAGCTTGCCCAAGCGCTGAACGGTGCGACTGCAACAGCTGTAGCACTGTGAATTCCTCTTGCCGGGTAGAGCTGAATGTTAGGGTATCGCAGCTTGTCAGGCGTGGTCGACCTCATGCTAGACCTCCTTGGCATCTGTCTTTTGCCAAGCAGCTCCAGCTCGCAACTGCACCTTTGCCGCAGGGGACTGTGAACTACGAACTTACAGCTTGCAAGCATTCAGTCTGAAGCTAGTACGGACTTCAGCTGGAGCACCTGCAAGTCGTAGTATGCTTCAAAGCTCTTCGCAAAGAGAATCAACCCAGAGCACGGAACATCAACGCGGTGCAGAAAGCCATGATCGTGTTGCGTGCCTGAGCCAGGAGGCGAGTAGGACAAGGGTGTTCATCAAATTCTGACCTTCGCTCACCTCAAACAGAAGGGCCCTGCATTACGTGGTACCCACGAAGAGAAGGGACGCCCGATAATAAGGAGCCCTATAAAGAAAGGAGCCCTCTGCTGGGCTCTGAGGTGCTCTGCAAGATCGGCCAGTTGCCGCCTTTCCAAGAGCCCACGAAGTGTCGAAGCTGTCGCTGAAGGTTCCCGTCACAAACCTCCCAGCCCACTGGCCTAAGAGACGCAACGGAAAAAGACACAAGGCACTTCTAAGGCTTTCTCATGAGAAACGAGGAAAGATTCTTGGGCCGAGAGGCTTGAGGATCACCATCCCTCAGTTGCGGGAGATCAGTATCTTGAAAGATGTGGGGAATGTCTTGTCTTCTTTTGGGAATGTCCTTTTTCCCCCATCTTTGAAAAGTACTGAACTCAGATGCATCGCTTGTGTCTCGCCCAGGTTCGATCCTCCAGCTCCAGCCGCACAGACGGCCCCAGCAGCGGGCGCTTGCTGTGCAGTGGCTGAGGCAGCGATCGGGACCTGAAGTGTCTAAGGGAGGTTTGAAGGGTATGCTCTCTTTCCTTGTGCTTCTTCTGTGATGGAAGAGGAGCCCGAAGCCGCGAAAAGATGTTCAAAGCCCCCATGACTCCCAAGCCTCAAGCCCGCCCGTCTTCCACACGTGGGCCCGAGAACATTATGCCATTGAGTCACATGTACCCAGACCTGGCAAAACCGAAAACTGTAATTTTCTTCTTATTTTCATGAGATATACATATGCATGCATTTACTTACACTGACATAATTCACACGATTCCTCTTGTGCAGGCGCCTCTGATCCAAGCTGGCGCCAAGCTCTCGGAAGCAGTCACCAAGCGCCCAGCGCAGCGTCGGGTGCACGGCGCCTGAAAGCTCGCAAGCAGTTTGGGGTTTCGGGGTTGGGGCTGTAGGGTTTTAAGGTGGCTTGTCGTCTAAGAGCTCCTCTCCCCATTGCCGTCACCTCCCTGGCTCAGTTTTTGATTGTCGGGATGGGACACGCGGTCTACGCACAGTGTCCAGCGGATCCGGTCGCGCTTTGCTTGGAGCCCGGGCTTGCAGGGTTCTTGCGAAAACGCGGACGTGAGCGCGAGGAGGTAGGACAACGGCACAGCGATCAGACGTCAACGATCGCATTGACGGAAATATGCTGCGAGACTCCCCGAAAGAGAGTAGGGCTGATCAGGCCTGCGAAGCTGCAGGCCCAAAGAATGCTGAGAAGGTCGTCCTCACCCACACAAGAGCCCGCAACGCTGGGAATCCGAAGGTTTTCGGGACTAACCTTACACCAACTGAGTACTGCGACACTTCTGAGGTTGTGCTTGTCTCTGCCCGCCGTGCCCCGAGTCCTCCAGAGCCTTTCGTCGAAGAGGCGTTGCAAAGCTCGTCAAGGTCAGCTTTCGCAGACCTCTGCTCAGAAGACATCAAGGTAGACATGCCTATAGTACTTTGGCACTCTCCTCTTTCACATCGCCCAGGCGAGCAGAAGCTCCAGATTCAACAAAAACTTCCGTACCGTCTTCTACAGCCCTCGAACACTTCCATGAAGGCAACCTCAATCTCGCCGCAGGCACGGGCTCGCACCTCCCGCTGCAACTCGCGGAAGGCCTCCACGCTGGAAATGCAAGGGTCCTGTGTTCATCCTGCTAAGCTTCCCTACGCTGACTGGAGAAACCGAGTAGAGAGTCAAAAAGCGTTTCGAAGAGCTCTGGGGGCATCTCGGGGGCCTCTGGACCGCCCGGAGCCGCGGCAAGGCCGAGGGAGACGTGCCGGAGCTCCTCGAGCGCCAGGGATTCTTTTTGTCAAAGACCTTTCTTAAGCTTGCGTTGTTCTTTCCATTTAATCTTTGTTCTGTTTGTAGCCCAACAGCTCTCCTTTTCTTCGGGCCTTTGAGGTTCACCCTTGCGGCTTTAGGTCAGAAGGCAAACTTGCCACACCGCCATGTTCTGTCCTTGCAAAGGCCACCTCCTTAAACTTCCACCACCGCCTTTTGGGGGCAAAAAACTCCCAACCAACCCGCTTCAGGAATAGTCTCGCAAAACCCCGCAAGTAGCTGTTGTTTCTCAATCCTAAACTAAACCACAATCAATGGCCTGGAGTGTTGGGGCACCATAGTTGGAAGAGTTAGAGAAGTGCAGCCATCGGTTGCAGCCAAGAAGATGAAGGAAATGCCAGACATGCAGGTGGTCCACAGGACAAGACCAGACAACGCGCAAACAAAACCGCCAGGGTGCGAGCACGACATCGAAACAATAGCAACGACAAGAGGAACCAGCTTACATGCAACGCTTCAATCATGATGGAAGCAAGCAGGCAAAGCGTATTGGCGGGACGCATGTCAAGAACCCAGGCCAACAACGTCGCAACAGGCCAAGTCGCAACACACACAGAACGCAGGCAAGAGGAAACAACCACGTGCCACGAAGCATAGGCACAAGGGAGCAGGGCCGAGTGTGGCAACAGGACAAAAAAGAAAAAATCTACATTGGATGCATGGGAGGCGCCAGAAGAAGCCAGAGAAAGATTGCAGGCAGCTGCAAGAGCTCACATCTTAATGAAAAGTGTGCAATTGAAGCTTCAGATTGCCGGGATCCAAACCCCTGAACTCTGAAGGCCTCTGTGGTGAAGCGGTGAAGAGATGGTGTTTGACGGCAGCACTCGGCCCGAAATCGTGGGCTCGCGATGCCTCGCAAGGTCAACTCGGCTACTGTTCGAAACGAGGACAAGACCAGAAGCCTGTTCCCTGGGCTGTCAAGCCTTATATGCCTTTCGCTACCATTGCCGCCCCAAGCTTTGCGCTTACACGAATGCTGCCAAGGCACCCAGTGTCGCGAGGGACCAGGATATCCTGAAAAAATGCGGCAACGCCAAGAGGGCTGAGTGTGAAATTGAAGTAGTGTTAAAATGCTCAGGTTAGCAGTGTTTGCTGGGTTGGTGGGTTACGGGTTTCTGAGATCTTGGATTGGGAATGCTCGAGGTCATTGCGCACTGAGCTCTGAGCATTGCCAATTCCGCTGGGGAGGTGGAGCCCTGAGCACGGAGAAAGCACATGCCAAGGCCAAGAGATATGCGAAACAATGAGGCGAGTGCCGGCGTGCCTCCAGGATTGGGGCGACAGCGGTGGCAGCTAAGGCACGGAGCTCCGCCTAGAATCCAAAAACCAAAGCGTTTTTTCCACACCATCGCAGAATCAGACTCGGAATGCTCCCCGAGTGGCATCCCGGACTTGAAGCCGTGCCAGGGTCCACAGCAAAGTGGAAGAGCCAGTCTTGGCCTCCTTCCCCTGCATCTCGTACATCAAGGCCACGCCTGGGATACAAACTCTGAAGCACGGAACTCGCTCAATTGACCAACCTATCCACCCTGGCCTGCGGCTGTGGCCGTACAGGCCTGGCAGGCTGCAACGATGGCCTTGTACGAGTCGTCATCTGGAGGAACCTCAGCTCAGGGCCGCTGAATCTCCTTGAGCTCCTTCTGTCTCATGCCTGGTCAAAACATTGGGGTTAAGTCTTCAAACTCTTTTGTCAACTGGAGACTGGTCGCATGCCAGGAAGCTTTGAAGTTCTTCAGCCAGGCCAAGCTCCCCAGTGCAGGCTGCCAGCGTGAAGCCCTCTCGAACGAGCCTCAAACTCGGACTTGGCTCGTGCTGTGCGCAGGACGCTGCTCTGGTATCTTCTTGCAGCTTCGTGGCGTGCGAGGCTCTGGCACGTCACCGAAGTGGCAGGAATCCTTTCAGGCAGATTTCGCCTGTCCTCTTGGTTGCTTCTATGTGGCATGGTTGTTGCCAGCCGTTGGCAGCAAAGAGCTTCGAGTGATTAGCTTGTTAGTCTTGATTTACTTCCGTGACGGACTCTCGTGTTGTTCCCATCTGTCCTTGTGATGGCCATGGAGGCGGTGAGCTGCAACGCTGCCTTCCAGGAGCCCGTCGCCGCGAGTGCTGCGTTGCAGCTGCTCACCTGTGCCACGATACGTGGAGGCACGTGGCTACGAAAATGCTTCAGTCCCAGCTGTAACTTCCAGGAAGCCTCTAGGTCACCAGGATCTGGATCTGCCAGCAAACACAGCGCTTTCTGCCAGTTCTCCAGGGTCCTTTACATGCAAAGGCCCGTGATGGCGGGTAACTTGCGGTGTTGAGCACCCTTGCAATCCAAACGTGTCCCGCAGGCTTGGATGGTGGTTAGTTGCGCTACGCTGTTGGCCTCAACCTCAGTTGCAACGGGTCTACTCAGGACGAGTTCTGTCTCATCTTGCGTCTGGAATGCCATGCTGATGACCCACTGCAGTCACTGCAGTCAGTGGATCCGATGCATACGTTCCCGCTTCCCTATCTCTGATGTGGGAGCAGTTGCGCAATGGTTTCTACGGTCAGCTCCCCCGCTCGGAATGTCTGAGGCTCGACTGATTCTGGCTCTGTGTCTACGGGGCCATTTGTGGAGGTCCAGGAACTTCAGATCTGGGTTGCAGGCCGCTGTGCGAAGGATCCTGTGCAACTCGAGGGCCTGGAGATGCGACTCGGCTCTCTCGAAGCTCTCCCTGAAACGTTACAGTCTCTCCTCGCCGCCTCGCCTGCTCCCAGCCATGGGCCCGGGACGCCGCGGACATGGCAGTGGTGAAGGTCACCACATCCGGCTGGACTTCCTGATGCTTTGGTGGGGGGCGCGCTGTGAACCTCAAAAACGGGGCTTGTTGGGGACCCTCTTGAAATCTTGTCCTCTTGCACTCTTCGGAGGATATTTCAGGGTTCTAAACCAGGCCCAGGCGCGTGGCAAGCCGCGTGGAGGAGCTGCAAGGCTTCTTGCCATGCCTCTCCTGCACGGCAACTGTTAGGTGAGGGCAGAGGATCCCAGTGCACGACGGCTCGGGGGATGCTCGAAAATCCGAACAGGCTCCTCGTGCACAGCTGCTAAGTGCGGAGTTGAAACTGACGACATCCTCAAGTTGGCATTTTGGGCTCAAACTCTTGGACAGGGCAATGACCGGACAGGAGCCGAACTGTTTCGGGGGAGTTGTCACTCTAGGGCTGATTCAGTGTCGAGGAATTTCAGTCTATGCTGGGGGTTTGGACAGGTATGAGCTCGGGTCCGCGGCACCCGTCCTCACAGCTCCCAAAAGCTGTCCCGAAACTCTGCAAGCCCTCGAACCCTGCACCGCTTCAGCCGGGTTGCAGGTTGAATTTCCCGGCCACTTAGGCCACAAAAGAGGGCCAGGGCCAGAAGCCACTGGTCGGCCTTCCTGGGACTTGAAATGGTTTTAGGGTTTAGGGAGGGGAGGGTATACAGGTTTGGGCTCAGGACCTTCGGGTAACGGGCAGAGCTGAACTTCCGAGAGCAGCTTGTTGCAATTGAACTCTGTAGGGTAACCAGAACCCCCGCACCCCCAAAGTGCATAACCGAAACAAGTTGTTCGAAACAGCTTGTCCCCGACGGCTGGCAACCCTAAAACACAAAACAATGGCACCACTGAGTAAGGGGCATAGAGCAGCATAACCTTGTAACGAGGCACTCGCATGTTCCCATGGCAGCGCTGATGGCAATGGCATCTGCAGTGTGCCGGAGGCCTGGAAACAAAGCAATGAGCGTTGCAAAAGTGTCGGAATTATGCGTAGTTCCGGCCGCCTCTTCGAGCGACAATTAAGCACACCAGCAGCTTGCAGTCCGTGGCCGAGCCTTCCATCCGCTGAAGCAGCTCCAGGGCCAGCTGCCAGCAGCCCCCGAAAGAGCAGGCCTCTGCTGAGTGCCGGGGACTTTATACAGGTAGCATGGATGTGCGCAGGCGAGTCCGAGGCAATGTCGTGGGGTTGGGTTTTACCTGCGCTTGTTTTAGGGCACGGCTTGTTTAGGGTTGCAGGGTTTAGAGTTCTAGGGCTTCTAGGGTTCCGTTGTTTGTGTAACAGTTTGAGCGTTTTGGCTTTGGGGGCGTGAGGGGGAGGGGGGTGGCGTGGGATGGTTGGGGTTGTACCGACACACGACGCAGAACCATATGCGCGTAAACAAGCAAATACATACATATCCACACACATAATATATGCATAGAAACATATATATATATATACACATGCATTTATGTACTTGCTTCTTCTGGGCAGATAGTGCTTCTGCTAGACAAATAGAGCTTCCACAAGCAAAATAGTGATCAAATACTAACCATGCACCAAGCATACAATTTGCACGTGCGAATGAAAGGTTCATTGCATATAAACGAAGTATTCATTGCATACAAATCTCTAAATTAATAGAACACGAAACAAATCAGTCCGTATCTCATAAATACTACTGAAAAAGACGACGTGAATGAACCAATATATGAAATGTAGAATGCAAAAACCATGTGATTACATAGTAGGTCAGATATACAACACCAACTATTTACTATGCCTGAAAGCACGCTTTTTGCAAGACAAAACCTAGAAAAGAATCAACAAGTCCAACAAGCCAAGCTTTTCAGGAGCATCCCTGGGGAAGTGTTGAGTTTTGGGCTTTTCCAGGCAATAGTATGATTATAATCAAATAATGCTTGTCCTGGGCAAATTTCGGGCAAATAGTGCTTCTTGCAGACAAATAACGCACTGAAAGGCAAAAACAATGATCAAACACGGATAAACTTCCAAGACTAAGTGCTTTACATACTATTGAAACATTCGTTGCATCGATGCTATACACCCACAAACCCTATAAACATAAGCATTGCCGGTACTTTTTTCAAGGGCTCTTTGCAGTATGTTCCCAAATTAATTTCTATCGTGTTTTCTTGAACTGATCGGTACACACGATGAAGTGCATACTAGCATCTTAGCAGAGAGGAACAAGCACATGCATGAAATGAAGCCAGTAATCTGTTTCGTGTGACTGTAAGAAGGGAGTTATATCAACACCCACATATACCCTTAAGAGAGAGAGAGAGAGAGAGAGAGAGAGAGAGAGAGAGAGATCGCCTGGATCCCAGCCGTCAGGGCCCGGAGGTCCAACTCCTCGGCCTGGTCGAGCATGGCGAGGCCCCGCTGCCACTGCCGGCCTCCGGGGAAACCATGTCGAGAGCAAGACTTGGTGGTGTACATGGGCTCATAGGTGTAGTGTTGAGAGGCATGCTTCCCCGTGAATTTGTACGGACTTCGTGGTTGAGGGCGCTTACGCACTTCAACGCTTTCGCAGCACTCCAGCTCGTCATCAGGGTACAAGGGGCACGGGCTTGAGTGTTCAGTGCGATGTGAGGACGTTCGCGTCACTCCTTCTCATTACACCGGGGGAGCCTGCCGGGCAAGGCAAGGGACGAGAGAAATCCGAGAAAAGCCAAAGTTGGCGGACTCTGACTGGTGGGTTGCTGCTCTGGGCTTGCTCTGGTGGCTCGCGTGTTTGTTGCCTCTTTTCTTCCTCACTTGACTGCCGCGACCCTGTTTCGGTGTGCTGCTTCCTGTTTCAGCTTCTGAACACCTCCGCTTGGCGCTTATTTCCATGTGCCAGCCCTGCCCTCACCAAAGCCAAGGCACAGCCGCGGCCTCCCCAAACCCCCCGTAGCACTTCACTGCCGCCACATTCCTCCAATCCTCCCCTTAAGTTCTTGAACAGGAACTCAACTAGAACGAGCCTTTTTTTGGGGGCAGCGTTTTTCGATTACAGTCTCATACAGAGGGAGTTTCGAAAAGAGGGGGGGGCAGAGAGTATGGGAAGACAGAATACATCTCATCTTATAAGTAGCAGTAGGGGGGCTCTCTTGAGTAGGGGGGGCACCTTGGCTGCAGGACCTCAAAGCCGGTGCCAAGGCAGTGCCGGGCCGGTGCAGGGCCACAGCCAGCTGCCAACAGCTGCCTCCGGTTCTAGAAGAGAGCTTAAAGAGAGAGAGAGAGAGAGAGAGAGAGAGAGAGAGAGAGAGAGAGAGAGAGAGAAAAAAAAGGAAGTCAGTGATGATTTTGAGAGCCCGGTTTTCTCTTTCAGAAGCCTTGAGGGGAAACGCTGTTCAAAAGGCAAACAGAGTTCGCAGTCCGCCTTTGGCGCAGGCGTTCAGAGCCGTGTTGTAGCTAATGACCTGATCACGCGTGTGGCGTGTGAGGGTACTGCAACGAGACATGACAGCGCGCAAGGTCGTCGAACTGCATTGAAGAAGGGTTGGGCATGTATTTAGTGCTCGGTGATGTGGTACAAGACGCAATCGAGCCTTCTAGAGAACCCACTCGGCTTGGGAAGACCCCAAGCAGTCGAAGAACACATCCAAAGCATTACACACCCCTTTAAAGTAACAAAAAAGAGCAGCCCACGATGAGTACACGGCGCCACAGCGTTACAGCGATCAATCATGAGCCCGTACAGCTCTACTTCTTTCAGGTGGAACACCGTTGTCCAACCTTTTGACTTAAACAATTGCCTCGCCCCCAGACGAATCCCGACAAATCTTGAGGGAAGCTTCCCCCAAGGTCTTAAGGTCTTAACCAGCAGTCAGCTCAGTAGCAACAGCCTTAACATTGAGACCGCTAAACTGCGATTCATTCGGGGGACGTCCGGCTGCCCTCGTTTGTGGAGGTCTCGGAGCAACCTCGGCTTCTTTGGTGGAGTACAAAGTGCTGAGCACCGTTTCAGCCTTTAACTCGAGACAAGTCTCGATGCCAATCCTTGTTTCACACTTGAAAAGCCTGGACGACTTCAGGTCCACAAGAGCCAGAACACCTACACAAGAGTGAGTTGAATAAACTTCGGCCACATTGGGATACATTTTTGTCCACATGCCTTTCGTGGATGGAGTGGGCTTCTGGTTCCTTCATCAAGAGTCCTCCAAACAGAAGGCCAGCGACGTAGTTCACACTGCAGCTGAGCGGCGACAGGGCGTGCTGCCACTGTGAAGCGCGATCGCCTAGCAGCTCTTGAACGTGCATGGGTCTGAGCCTCCTTTGCTCCTTCGATCCTATATAGATACACATGTAAGTTTCTACTTTTACTTCATCACTATAGTGGTGTTTATCATGTATACGTGCATGTATCTGCGAAATATGATATTCGCATCGGCCTCGGACGAGGGCGTCGGAAGTTCCTGTAACGACCCCCTGTTTCCCTCACCTGATCCCCCTGCTTAACGACCCCCCGATGCCCTTTTCTGAGCTGGGGCTTTGGGGGTTGCTGCAGAAGCTCACGGAAGCCTGCGCTGCCTGCGCTTTCCGCTTTCTGCCGGGGCACAAGCACCCATCACAGCGTTCAGTGTCACGGTGTTGGGGTGTCGACGCTCTTCCTGGCGAGGGAGACTCAAGGTTGAGAGGCGAGAATCACAGCAAGCTCCGGGCAAAGACTTTGCAGCCTTTGACTCTACCATCGTGAGGCTACGTTGTGACGCTCGGCATCTTTCCTTTCAAAAGAATCGGCGGACGAGACTCGAGCTAGGAAGGGCCATGTGGCACGTTGCCTGTCAGCCTAAAATAGCTAGAGAAGGGACGCGCTTTTAAAAAATAGAAGCCGCCCCACAAAGCAATATGCAGTCCACAACCAAAGCAAGAGCCAAATCCATGTAGGCTGATGTCCAAAAGAACTTTCAGATCCTGTCACCTAGCCCAGGAACCCAGGGCGGCCTCCCCGCGCTCGAGCAGATGCACCGCCTCGGAACTTTTACTTCGTAGCTTTTGACTTCGAAATCCAACAGCTCTTCCTAAACATTGTCCTTGGAAACCCAACAAGCCAAAACGCAAATGTTTCAAGGTAGGATGACAAGTAACTGGCTGAGTAAATTCACCATTGGACTGAGGCTCGAGACTTTAAGATGAATCAAGGGCGTGAAAGCAAAGCTCCCGTACTCTCCTTTTCTAGCTGCGAACATCATGGGCACACATTCTTTTACATGGAGCTCGCATCGCGATTGCTTGGTGCCTGGAGAATGCATGCCCCCAACCCCTTCGCCCTCCCAAGATGACTGGAAACCTGAAACACGCAGACCAGACTGTAAACCGTTCAAGGGACATGTTCTCAACCACTCCCAAGTGCCTGGAATAGGACGGATGGTTCTTGCTCAACAAGGTTACGGAAACCTCCAAACATACAGGACCGTGAAGCCTCCCTAAACCAGCCGATGAATCTGGACTCCGAGCTCATTGGCCCAGCGGCTTTGCGCCAGTGTTTGGCGCGCCCATGCTCGGCGATGGCCGTATTCCAGCGCACCACGTCCTCTTTTCTCCGGGAAGTGTTGGGCTTTCGGTTTAACAAGCTTGTACGGGGGAGCACGCCATGCGCTTGGGCAATGCTGTGTGATGTGCTGCTTTACCACCGATCAACCTCAAGCTGCTGCACAACCTCGAGCTCCACTCCTGCTTGGAGACCATGGCCCAAAGGGAGCCGCCATTCAAAGAACAGCGAAGTGAGATGACCGGCTGTCTGCTTTGGATGGTCTACAAGGAGTTCATGACATGCTTTCGACTGCTTTTATTTTGGGCATCGAGATCGACTGATAGGCCTCTCCTGTTGGCTTGTTGGCTTCCGGACGACTGCACTCATTAAAAGGGTCCCAGGGTCGGGAACTGAGCATCACTACATGGCTTGCTTGCTCGCTTGCTGGGCTCTTGAGACGTGGGCGCCTTGACAGGGTCGTGCCGCAGCTCAGCGGCACTCTAGCCGACCGATAGGTGCCTGAAGCTTCTCTAAAACCAGGCCGGGAGCACCCTCCTAGGTCTCTGCAGCACAAGCTCTCACGTCTTTTCTGCCATCTGGAGCTCTTGGATTCTGGGGGAAAGGCTGAAACTGCTTCATCAATTTCGACAGCGAAGTTCACAAACCTTGTCATTGGTTTACTTTACAGGCATGCCAGAACAACAACCTTGAAAACCTTCAAAACCTAAAAACTCACCAAGAGGCAAGCGAAGAGACCCCGCGTTCCATTTTTTCGGCCTTGCGTCCACGTCGATGAAGGTCGGAAGCTTCCAACCCTTGGGGGCCGACTTGCATCTTCGGGTGCTTCTCTGGAGCTCGATGCTACCTTTGTTTGATACGTCTGCAACGGAAACTCCGACCGAATCCTATGCTTTCTCGACCTCGCCGGGCGAGCGTACACCAACTTGGTCGCGTTGAACTGTTGCTGTTGTGTTCAGCTGGGATCTAAACACTCTCGAGCCAATCGCGCTGGTCGACCTTACTCAGGCTCAGTGCGCCTAGAAGCGTTTTGACAGGGTTCGCGACGAGCCCATGGCGATGCCGAATTGTGGTGGCGTCTGTGGTGGGCCTGCAGGCCTGAATGGCGGCATGAGTCTGTGCCTCCTAGAAGTATGAGCGCCTTGGCTTCCGGCCCCCGACTCCAGGGACCCCGCCGCCTAAGCTTACACCTAGGGCGGGGGAGTCCCGTGACGTGCTCTGTGCACTTTTCTTGCGAACGTCGGCAACGTCAGAGCACGAACGAGGCGAAAGGTGAGAAGGCCGCTTCTTCCCTGCCTTGAAGGCCCCTTTAAAGGTCCCTATAGCTTCCAAAAAAACCTGACTGCTTGGTTGGTTCGCCAAGATCCTTGCAGCTGGCCGTCCAAAACAAAGGTGTCATCTGATGTGTTGTCCTAGTCGCTGTACTTTGCCCAGTTCCTAAGTTCCTAGAGGTCCACAGCCTCTCAGGCTTTCCACACCTTGTGTCAGGTGGTGCCATCTGAATACTTCTCGGCCTTCCCCTTTCCATGTCTGCATCTAACTTTACGGAGAAGGTCCGCAGCCTGAGCTCCACGGAGAGCTTATGCAGGATGCTTTTAGGACCTTAGGACTGAGGGCATGATCATATCTTCGGAGGTTCCTGCAGTTGAGCCCGAGTGGTTGGGGATCTCAGGTTCGCTATGAACCCTAGACCCCCCTAAACCACGTAAACCCCTAAACCCTGTCTCCGTGGGTTCTGAAATTCATTTTCCTGAAGTAGGGTGGGACGGAGGCCGGCGTCAGGGTGTCGAGCTGCATACTTTGCGTCGTGTGAGTGGCCCTTCCTAGAGTTCTACGGCAGGCCAAAGAAAAGGCTTCCCCTTCCCGTAGCCTTGAAATGCGCTACCCTTGCCCTAAACCCTAAACCCTAAACCCGAAAACCCTAGAACCCAATAATCCTATAAGCCCTATAACCCGAAAACCTCAGCGTGAGGATCGACGAGAGTGCTTCGAGAACTTCGGGATGTCGGGGGGAGGATTCTTACCGGGAGCTGTTCCAAGTTCCGAGCTTGGCCACGGATCCAGAGGCCTCTTGGTTCTCCACAGCAGCCCCTTCCGGTCCCTACTGCTATTGACTTGGATCCTTCAATCTACCTGCTTTCCGTAACAATACCTAAACCTGGCCTAGTTCCTACACCCCAAGCAAGTGAGGAAGCTTTTGTCTACCTGCAGTTTTAGATAGACAAGATTTGGACAGTACCGAGCTGGGACTACTCCGACGAAGACAGCGTTTACAATTTCTCCCCGTTACCAATGTGCAATAAGTATCGGACGAGTAGATTCATTTCATATGGATGCTTAGTCTATGAAAGCAAGGTTCTTCCAACTGTTAGTGGGTCAATCCGGTGTCCGAGCTGAAACCTTGAACGCGACAACCGTCGAAACTTTTTGGAAACCCCCGTCGATGTCTTCATGGCACTTCGTGAAAAGATAAACGTTCGTGGCAGATACCCAAGCGGAACGAGCCTTGTACAGGAGCCTACATAATTACCAAGATCATCCCGTTCGTTGGACCCTTAGCATGTCGGCAGGGCGGCTGTGGATGCAAGGGCCAGGACGTGCTAGAGAGGTCATCACTTCGGACACCTGCAAAAGCTCCACACCTTGAGAGGCAACCAGGATGTCGTGCTGAGCGAGCTCACTCGAGCGACTTCGAGGAATCACAGACTAGGGTGCTTGCAATCTGCAGAATCTGGCTTAACCGCTGTATGGTTGACGCAGCAAGGTGCGGAGATTTCTTGTTCCAACGCCTCTCCGATCCCTTCGGACACCGTCTGGGTTGGCTTTGCCCTTCGATGCCCAAAAAGCTGTTGAAGGACCGTGGATCGGTGATGCATCCGATTAGGGATCGACCAAGGCACGGCGGGTGAGACTAGAGCAGCAAGCAGCTGGCAAACCCGAAGCCCTAAAAGAACCCACAGTTCGTGAAAAACCGGTGTCTCCTACACCCTAACGCCACGACATGTGACTTCACCGTCCTTCGCATAGGGGGGATTTGAGCGCGTGCGATTGACAAATTTACGATGGCCGCTGTCTGTGCCTGCAGCGTCTTGTGTCATTAGGTTCGAAGTCTGGTACGTCTCCTTGCGTGAAGGCCCCCTATGAATGACCCCCCCCTCACCCCCCCCCCCGCCCTCCCCCCGTCCCCTCCCCTCCTGTTCCTGCGGTGGATGAGCTCTTGCACATGACAAACCTGAAATGCATTGCAGCTGCAACCGACTTGACAGAGTGTCTTTCGAGTTTCTCTACTGGGTTCAAATCTAAGCCCTAAAACCTTGTTGCAACATCACTCCGCACTAAGGGAGCCTGTTGCATCAGAGCAGCCTGGTGCCACCCCACAGACTTTTCAGAGAGCCGCCTGACACTTGCAGAGCGCAGTTCACAGGCACTCGCCTTGCTGGGATGCTCCTCGTGTCTGCGAGGGCAGATTGGAGTGACAGAAAAAAGCTCGGAGAAGCGGGGTGATCGAGCAGGGCGTCATGCCACCAAGACTGAAATAGTGGAGACTAGCACAGCTGGAGACATCCATGCTCAGACCGTGCACTTTTTTTTTTGCAATGCTTAGCTAGGAATCGCTTTGCTTCTGGATGCGTAGGAAAGCTGCTTCCTTGCTCGGAAGCCCCACATCACCTTGCAAGCGTACCTCCAGCAGCCCGCGCACCGAGCAGACCCCCGGGGCCTTCACAAGCCTTTTGAGGCGAAGGCAAACATTTCCAGAGGGTGTTGCTCAAAGTTGGGACTTTTAACTGCTTTCGCTGGCCATTGTTGCGCACCTTTGAGCAACTACCCTGACTCTTGCGCTCACATCGGCGTCACGCCCGCAGCTCATTGGCCCTTGCTGCAAAGATGCGGAAGGCTGAGCGCGGGCCAGCACAGACACATTTTGGGCGTACTTAGACGGGATATGGCAAGTAACTAGCCATACCAGCAGACAAGCTGGGGGTGTCTTGCCAGGCTTCTGCATGGGCTCTCAACACCGAAGAAACCTGCTCCGCACAACGCTTCTAAGTTGCGAACACTTCCACAAACTGGAGATTTTGGTGTGATGTTACTGACCGCCCCTTTTGGGAATGGTTTGCCCAGCAGTGCTGGGCGGTAGTGTAAGCTTGCATCCCGTAAACTCGGGGCCTGAGAGCTCAAGAGTATTCATAGCTTGTTGTTTTGGATTACTGTCTCTTGTTACTTGTAGTATTGTTCTTAGTGGCGGTAACATTGTTCTTGTTACCAAGACTTGGTTTGATATCAGTACCCATGTCAATATCAATAAGAGGTCTCGAGCCGAAGCTCGAGCAACCGAAGCCGTGCTGTTTGCTGAGCTTTCCGTTAGAAGCATTCACAAACTGACGGAAAGGTTGCTCGTTTCTGTTTCGCGCTGTGGATGTCGGGAAGCTAGCCTCTAAACAAAAGGGACAAGTGACAAGGGAGTCCCTATCTATCTGTCTATCTACGTAGATATAAATCTACCCTTGGAGTTGTGCACAAAATTCACCCCCCCATACTCCCTTCCCTCCTTGCCTCACACCGTAGGCCGCTAAGCCCTAAAGCCCCAAACCCGAAGCCTCAGCTGCAGCTTTGCGGCTCAGCTGGGTGCAGGGGGCGCGGTGTCCGGCTGGGTCAAATGGCGGTTGGCGGGGCTGCACCTCGAAGCCGGAGCCAAGAGGTTTCAGAGATTCAAGGAAATTGGAGGCTTTGGAGTCTTCTTGGGGGTACCTAAGCTTTATGGGGTTTAAGCGTAAACCCTGGGGCTTCATCTTTTTTGTTTGAAGATCATGGGTCCCCGCGAACACGGGCCAGCCCTTGCATTCGCTCAGCTAGGCTTGGGGCAACGGGGTGGCTGTGCGGTCGTGTTGCGTCATGATGTCGTGTTGCTGACGAACCTTTTCTGGGTCGCTGAGTAGCCGTGCCGGAGAACATGCAAAGCAAGCAGATTCCAGAGCTCCGAGCCTCCCCTCGCTACCCAAAGCCGAGTTCCAAAAGTGATTTCGGGAATCAGGTATCTGACATCCCCATACTCCTGTTGTGGAGGGCTGGGATTCTGATATTTCCGCGAGTCTATAGTGGACGCCAAAACCCTAAGCGCTCTAAAGCCCTAAAACCCCGCCAAAAGAATTTCCGGTGAACTCTACAAGCTCTCAAAGATCGCCCGAGCTCCGAGCATCTCCCGGCGGAGTGCATCCAGGACGGTTTCGATGGTATACTCTCTTTTCCAATTGCCTCTCATGGGGGTTTCGGGTTTGTAGGGATTGGGTTTTTGGGGTTTAGGCTTCTGATGGCTATTGGAAAGGTTGTTCTCCAAGGCCAAAGGGTGGCGTGGGGCCCATGCGAGCCATGCTGCAGAAAGAGCAAGCAACTCCCTCATGGAGGTTTTAACTACTCCTGAAAACGGCCCTGGCGGATCTTAGAGGCCACTGCACACTGTGGGCCTAAGACGCCCCACGTCGGCTTGACGGTCCCCTCGGAATCGACGCAATTCATATTGATGCCCGCCTCAGATCTCATTGGCGGTTGAGGGGGATTTTGGAGCGGGTTTTGGGTCATTGCGGGTTCTGCTTGGGGTTTGGGAGGCTTCCCCAGAAAGTTCTCGGTTCAGCTCTGGGGTTTCGGGGGTGCGGTGTCTCCCTTGGAAAGTAGAGATGTCTAGTTTGTGGAGCCCCTTACAACCAGAAGCCGCTGCAATGGACGCCTGAAGGTTGCATCTGAAACGATCTTTGAGGTCTCAGAGCCGTTTGCTGTTACTTGTGGGGTTTTCGGTTCTCGAGCTGAAGTAGAAAGCTAGAAAAGGGCTCCTACTTTCTCGGGCTTTGCAAGCCTTTGCAGCCGTGAGGCAGTGAAGCGCACTTCGGGCAGGACGTCCGGATAGTTAGGTCCACAAACCTTGGGCTTTGCAACCACATTGCAGTCTTATCTTCAGGCTTCGGGCTGAGGATTCGACAGAGTTGGGGGTCGCAGGCGCACTTACGTGAGTTGTGTCATGCGATGCTGTGTGAGAGCTTCTGGCTAGTCTGGAACCATGCTGGGCTGTCGACGGGCGTGGGGGTAAGCCAGGGCTTCCGAAGCTTCCAACAAGTCATAAGACGGAGGCCCTTTTGAGTCTCTGGGAGTGAGGCAGATCAGCCCAGTCTTTGGAACAAAATCACAGACACGGACAGCAAAACTTGCACAAGAGCCAACGATCCTGTGTTTGCAAAGGAGTGCACCTCCTACATATGCTGAGCCAGTTCCACTTCAAGTCTTGTCTTTGCCTGAGGCCCCCGCAATTTGGAGGGAATAGATACGGTTGTCAAAGGCTGTGTCAATAGGTCCGAAAATCGTGCCGTTCCACGTGGTCAGGGTGATGTCCTCAGCTGGCTGCTCTTTGTCGTGACCTCTTAAGATTCTTGTGTGCTGGGTGCAGGGGTCGCAAGGGGTTTAGGGTGCATTCGTGTCAGGGCTTGCGTGGCTTCGGGTTTCGGGAATACGGCTCCGGGGCTTTAGGAAGAAGGCCAGACGAGTGTCGTCATCGTAGGCCAGGCCCCAGGAAAGGTGCGATGCTCTTTCGCACTTTTGGCCCTTTTCCTCAGCTCTGTGGTCGTTTAAGCCATGCCTAAACCGTGCGCTGCGAGAGCTTCACCGAGTCTGTGAGGATTTGGAGCCCAGGACAGGACAGGTGGATACTTTGGGTGCCAATATGCCCTCTCGGTTCAGAAAAGTCCACATTCAGCGAACAACCGGCACAACTACGCTGTCTGCCGCAGGCGTCCAGCTCGTCTAGCAGCCGGAAGCTGCGAGGCACAGTGACTTTGTCACTCCTGGCGCTTCCGAAGTCTTCAGGAGCCCTTCAAACACCCTCTTTCACAGGTGCTGTCCGTGGTTCTCAAAGTCTGAAGGGGGCGGCTTTCAGGCATCGACTCAGGGGCTTGGGCATCCGAGTGAGGGGGGAAGTCAGTTTGATGAGTTTTGATGCTTTTCCCACTGACGTTTTTTCTCCGGGGAGGACACTGTGGAAGGCCCTTGGGAGAGAATCCAGCTTGTCTCTGCCTTGAAGAATGCCTCGCAAATAGTTTCGCCGTTGTAAAACATGAAAAGACACTGACACGAGGGGCAGGGAAGAGCGAACGTCTCTGCTCCAGATGCCCTGCTGCCCGAACTCCGTGGACTTTGTTTGGGGTTGGAGGTCTTCGGGACCTTGCGCTCAGCACATCTCAAAGAAGCTGCCGGCTGCAGAGGACTTCGTTGGGGTGGTTTCGGTCATGGCAGAGACTTCAATAAATGCCCCCCCCACAAGCCCGAACCCTGGACCCAAGAGCCCAGCTGTGCCTCACGGTGGCTGCGGATGCTTGGGGTGCCGGGATCACTGGCCTGCTGCTCAGTTTGCTCAGTTTGCTTAGGCGGCATGGGGCATTCAAGGAAGACTTAGATCTATGTGCTGCCCCAAGTGCATTTAATCAAGCCAAGAGTTCGCTCAAGCTCTGATGAAGCCCTCAAGCCTCCGCAACCCAAATGTCTCAAGCTCCTATCCTTCAACTCCACTCCCCTTAACTCCAGCATACGATGCACCACACTTGTCCCGGGGCCCCCGGCTGTTGCGAATGCGGCTGCGGTGAATACGACTGCGTTGAAGGCTGCTGCGGGTTCGCGGCCGCCTGTAGAGCTCACCAAGATGGGTGGTTTCTGGGCGCAGGAAACAGAGGAGTTGTCGCCAATTGGGGGTGGGGGACAGAGGGCTACACTGGCTACACCCATCGCGGGGTTCATGGGTTCACCATGGAATCTTTACCGGCTTTACGAGGGGCCTCGAGGTCGCTCTGTGAAGAATTTGAGGCGGCAGATGTCTCTGACGCTATTTTCGGGTTTCGGCTTCTTTTGCTCGCTGTTAATGTCTGGACGCGATGTACCAAACACCCTAAGATCTCAAATCTTTTCAACTTCGAAACCGGTTGAAAGCTTTTGGAGACGTCAAAAAATCGAGAGAAGCTTTGAAGAATGAAAAAGCCGACGAGTCCTCCAGTTCGAAATTGTGGAAAAATTCTGAAAAATTGAAAACTTCGGGGGGCAGAAGAGCTGCACAGACATGTAAGGCCTCAAGATTCGAAACCCCATTCTCGGTTGATTGTCTCGGAGATTCAGTTAAGCTTTAAAGGGATTGTGGGGCTGCGATTCAAAGTTTGACACCGGTCTGAAAAATATGGCGCTGGTAAACAGTTTGAAACCGGCTGAGAGTCCTTCACTCTCAGCTGATACTCGTGGCAGACCACTCCTACTTCTCAGGGAGGCGCAAGCAAAACAAGCCAACTTCTGCCGAGTGCAGCAGAAGCAGGGTGAGGCAGAATGAAGATGAGGTTCACATAAGAGCGAGAACGACCATGGAGTGGGAGTGGAAATGAACACGAGGGGGCTAGCGATGCGTCAGGAGGGCGAAGGTGAGACAGAGGACGAAAGGAGTTCTCACAACCCCGCAACTCTGCAAGGTTTAGGGTTTCTAAGTTTCGGGTTTAGGGTAAGCAGACCCTTGCTTACCCCCAGGATGAGAATTTGGTCATGGTTCATGTGGGAAGGAGATATTTTCTGGGCTGCGTGCCTATGGAATAGAGAAAGGTGAACTTATAAGGGGTTGTGCCATTGAAGGCGACGTCAGTTCAACCTCTCGAGCTCTCAAACTTCTCTTTGTTGGTTCGGAAAGCCTCAAACTCGCGAACTCGAACAGTCTTCAAACTAGCAATCTCTCGCAGTTTCAAACCGTCAAACTGTGAAACACGAATGTTTCTTCGAACTCCAAGCTATCGAAAGAACGAGCTTTTTCAGGTCTTCAAATTCCAAGCTCTCGAAACTTTCAAGCTTGCAACAACTTTTTCAATCTCAACCTTTCGAGACTTCGAAACGGCTTCAACCTACCGAGGTTGCAATCTCGTGCACTTCCGTCCAACTCCAAACCTGAAGTTCACGCTTTGGTTTTCTTTTCAAACGCGGATAGCGACTTCGGAGAGTCAGTCTGAATTCGTGAGTTTAAGAAAAATATGAGCACTGCCGAAACTTGGAGTTTTAAAGCTGCTCCTATCCGAACATTCTCAACTTCGAGCTCTCAAAGCCTCAACTTAGAAGCACCTCGTAGGAGATCCAACACACCAGCAAGCTCTAACCCCCCCCCCCCCCCAAAAAGAAAAAAAAGAACAAGCAAAGAAAGATGAGCAAAGATGATATGCGCCTGCTGAGGCTTTGCCCCTCCGCAGCCCATACCCGAAGAAAGGCCGAGGCCCCTTCGCGTGGGCAGAGGCTTCCGCGGGGTGTCTTCGGGCACTCCTTCTGAAAGGTTTGAGGGGAAAACTACCCTAAATCCTAAACCCTAAACCCTAAGGGGTGTTGTTTCCCTTGCAGGGGAACCGAATTGGCGCCTAAGACTCTGGGGTGTTGACACTTCTAGTGACCGACTGGTTTCTCCACAAAGCTGAGAGTTCCCCTTCCAGGGCCCCGCCGAAGGCCTGAAGAGTTCTAAGCCTGAACGTCCCAAATCCCAGGCAGCATTCTTACTCTGCTCCTATCACGACAAAGCTCACCCTTCTCAACGCTTCCGGGCCTTAAGGCGCCAATTTGGGTCCAGGACTGGGGACGCTGCTTCGGACAAAAAGGGTGGAAAGCTGTACAGACCCCCGACTTCTTAAACCCCTTCACGCGTGTAGCATTCCTATGTGCTCCTCAACCGCAAAGCCCACAAAAAACATCCGCGAAACATCTGTAGTCCCTAAGCATCCGTTCACCCCGCCCGTGCCTTCGCAGGTCCCACTTCTAGTGTTCCAGGAGGCTACAACTTCCCGAGCCCCAACACTGCCGGCCGGAGGCTGAGAAGGCTGGGGTCTAACGCTTAAAGTTCAGAGCCCCCCGCAAAGCGGTTCTGTGGGTTGGAAGTGCCTCCAGAAGCCATGGAAGTGTTTCGCTTAAGAGGCTGTGCAGGGCCTGGTGTTCCAACCTTTGAGACCTCCCCCTTCTTTTTGGGATTCGGGTCTTCGGGTCCTAACGACTTCCTACGTGCCAGGTGCCCGGATAATTGTAGTACGGCTTCCTCGGGACAACTTCGTGTCGGTTCATTGGTTCTGTGGCGTTGGGGATGCAGCGAATCAGCACAATCGGGACTCTTCGGTACGAGGTGCAGTTGCTACCTGTTCTGCTGGCGCTAACAGACGCATGGCTGTATTACCGCAGTCGTATTTGCATGTAGTCGCTTGACCGTAAAGGTTGAGACGCCCCAAGTTAGATAATGAAAGTGGAAGCTTGCGATTGCTATGACTTTCTGCGATGTCAAGAATACCCGTTCAGGATCAACTCTTTTCGCCGAGCGTCGCGCGATCGGGTCAGGCATCACCTTCGAGTCAGAAAGAAGCACAGATTGTCCAGCTCAGACCTCGTGTGTTCATTCCCAAGTCATTGCAATAACATCATCTGGGATCTTGCCACCAGGAGAAACTAGGTCGCGGCAATAGTCATCTGAATCAGCAGACAGCAACTTGCCACCAAGTGCTTTGGGCACATTCTCCGGAGGAACGTGTCTCAGAATGGCTTCGGTGGTCTCACTGTCTTTTACGACATCCACTTTTTCGAGCGAGCCCTTATCCAAGAATGGACGGCAGAGCCGCCAAACTGCAGAGAAGATCCAGGGTGCGCGCACCACGATGATGCGCTTTAAGACTTCTGGGAAGTGGTCGGCCTCAACCCTGGCCACCGCCTGGCACATCTTAAGGGCTCTTGGGTCCAGGAAGGAGAAGTTGAGGCCCGCCATGTCTGCGACCACGGTCAGCTGAAAGCCACGGCTGCTGCCTTGCTGAAGATGGCGCCTCCGGGTAAGTTCAAGGCTGGCGAAGACACACTCCGCGCTGTAGATGCAGTGCTTCTGGATGAACTCCTGGTTGCAAGCCAGCAGCCCAGGCACGTCGTACTGCCCAATCCTCTCGAAGACCACCATATCTCCTTCGCGGTCCACCCCAGTGCAACCGGAGGCCTTCCAGTAGGAATCGAACCTCTCGTGCCTCACCTGGTATCAAGCTACATGTACATGGTGGTCAAGAAGACTCCCGACGCTGCAACTTCCAAGGCCTGAGCTGAGACCTCCTTTTCACGTGAGCAGCGCTGTTACAAGGCCCCCTCCCTCAGGGTGTGCACTCCCAAACCTTACAAGCCCAAGAAGATCTGTTCCCGGGGCCTTCTCCCAGTGAGGGAGAGCGTCTGCTACACCGTGCTGCCGCCGCCAGGATAGCACGTCCTGGAACAAAAAAGTGCATCCACTCCTGACCTAGAGATCTTTGAAGCTTTGAAGCCCCGTTTACACCTGAACCGACCTGAGTCGAAGACCTGAGACCAGCAAGGAGCCCCATGCGCCCCTCAAGTCACCAAAGGCATTCAGCCTCGGAGAGGCGACTTCCGGGTTTTAAAGGGGCTTGAGCATGGACGCAAGGGTGGAAGACGCCTTTTGCTCATGTTTCCCGGGGGGCTTTTCGCAGTTTTGATGTGGCTTTGACGTTTTGCTGCTGCAGTCGGGTCGTGTCAGTTGTGTCTGCTCTTTTTTAGCGCTGACCCGAGCATTTGGAAGCTGGAGCGCTGCCAAGCTTGGAGCTTGTCGAATCTTGGAGGTCTTCTGACGATCTGCTAGCCATGAACCGTTGCTGGTGCTCATGGAAGGAATGTCAATGCCCCTCTTCCTCGAGTAGGGGCAAGCTGCAAGCCATGACACATGGCTCTTCAACCCAGATCCTATTGGCAGCTTCATCAAAGATGGAGTTCAGCTTACGCTGTGTTCATATCGTGGGCTCAACCAACCTTCTTGTACGCTATCCTTTCTTTCCAGGCCGCAACATGAGCAGACCCTTTCCTTTCACAGCAATCACAAGTAGAACTGCTTTCCTATTCTTTGCTTTGTGAAGAAGCGCCGCACCCCCCTCCAAAGCTCCTGGAGCATGCTCAGGGACCGCTCCACGCTGCACTGGCGGGCCAGCAAGAACCTCCCCAAACTGGGTGCCCGTTCTTAGTTTTCTCACTTTGGAGGGACGTTGGGTGAAAGGGGGGCTCCAGACAGATACAGAATTCCTTGGGGCTATTTGGGGGGTCCTGGTGCACTTATTAAGGATTTGGGGCATAGTCATCGGCCGCAGTTCATGGCTCTTCTCGGTCTTGTTCTCGGTAGTACTGCTCTCCGGACTTCTTCTTGCATAATGGGGGGGGGGAAGAGGTTGCTCCATGCAGCTTCGCGCAAGGCTTTACTTATTACACTCGTTGCCTCGGGTGTAGAGTGGGATGTACCAAGAAGTCTTCTAACACCCCTGACACACCCCTGACAGAGTCTGGCATTGTCGCAGCACTGGGGCCTCAGCAGCACGCGGGGATCCTGGGGTTGGACCCAGCCGGAGGCAGGAAAGTGGCGGCAGAGGAGGGACAGCTGCTGGAGCTTCTCCTCCAGTTTCTGGTGCTGTGACTCGTCTCGGATGGCTGCCTGTATTAATGAAGAGGTATCCTCATCGATGGGGTAGTACTCGATCTTGTAGAGTTCTGACCTGGGTGCACCGAACTTGTGTTCCAGTGGTGCCCGCGGCAGTGCCAAGGGCTCCTTTGCGTGACTCTCCTTGGGCACGCCGAGCAGGCAGTCTGGGCTCTCCGTGGGGAGCTCGATTTTGAGCTCCCACTCCAAGTCGCTTCGATCCCTTGCATTGTCCTTCGGCCGGGAACGACGCCGCGCCCAACGCAGGCAAAGCGCAAGGCAAAGCAAGGGACCCAGAAGCAGCCAAACAGGGAAGGTGACCAGGACCACCATGAGTTGGGCTGCCGTTGACTTGATCCAGACAAGAAGTGCACAAAAGATCTCTCATCTCAAGCCTGCTGGGAACGTTACACGGCTTTCAAGGCTGCTGGCTCTGTGTATGGCGAGAATTGGCCAAGGGTCTTGGACAAGGCTGTTTGGGGGACAGGGCCTGGGATAAGAATCATGAGAATCCTTACAAACGTACAAAAATGAGGTTACCTGCTATGGCCACTATGGCGATGTTGTGGAATCGCCTTGAGAGCTTTCAGTCTTCAGGGCTCCCCACCCTAAGCATCCTTGGAGCCTGGCACCAGGTGAAAAGAAGAGCGCATCTTTCCGATTCCGCTGGGCGCTGAACAAGGTAGTGGACCCTCAAGGCTTACAAGCGCTCCCTCCCCCCCCCCCCCCCCCCCCCCCCAATGCCATCAAACCCTGGCCTGCTCTTTTCCCACACAGCAGCGTAGTCGCGACGTCATCCGGTGGGACCTACACTTCCTGCGAAAAGTGCTGTCGTGATGTAAATGGGGGTGATGGTCACCACGCTTGTTCACCTGCAACCAGAAAACGTGCCAATGGGACGGAGCAGTGTCAGTCACCGAGATGCCACAGTCCGGCAGGCACGTCACTACAGTTACAGGAGGGCAGACAGCGGAACCGCATTGGCTGGTGTTCCGAAATCATGAATTCCTAGCAATGCAAGCCCGACATGGTTGGCGTTCAAGTTGTAGGAGGTTGGGATACATTCTGCAGCAGTGGCCACAGGAAATCAATGTTGGGTCATTGGTTTGCTACGGTGCCAGCACGGGCTTGCTCGATTTAGATCATTCTGACTATGCCGGTAGCCATCGCACAAGGACTGGAAGTTGCAATCTCAGCGCACACAGAAACTTATGTCAAGTTTGTGTCCCTAGTCGGGTTGACAGGGCTCTCTAAACCCATGTGCGACACCTCATACTCGCACCCGACCATGATTTGCAACCCCCAGCCTTTGGCTGCCTTGCCGACATCAGCTTGACAGACACGCGTAGTCTGACAAGACAAAGAAGGGCTGCGCACTGGCCCTCTGGCCCTGTGCTCCTGTGTGCTCAGATGAGAACACGGTCGGCGCAGTTTTCTCGCAACGACATTAGCTCCTCAGTCACCTGCGACAGACCATCAGCGGACACTTCTAGTTACACTTGTAGCAAGGCAGGTCTTCGAATCAAAACGCCGGCCTCGGTCTTAAGCCCCTGAATCCTGACACCTATTCAGCCTACAAAACTTGCTTACACCGCCCCTCACTCCACAAGACCCTAAAAGCCGCAACCACACAACTCTTCAAGCCGCCCTGAACCGCAAACCTGGAATCTCTAACCCTGAGCCATCCCTGAACCGACAAGTCACGAGGCCTCCAAACCTCTCAAACCAAATCTCAGAGCGCCTGAGGGACAAAGGCCTCTTTGTCACAATTGCGGCAAAGCAAGCCCACAAGCTCACTGAAGGTCATCTTCCGCAGCGTCTTGCGAATCTCCTGAACAGCGTTTAGGGCCTGTTCTAGGGCGCAGGGCATTTTTGGGTGTTTTGAATGAGTGCGATAGACGAAACAAGATGATTTCTAAATACCACAAGGACCTGATTTCCAGCAACACTGCACAGCCCTCGAGAATGTTTTTGCTCAAAGCTTCTGCAGAAGATTGCCAAGTCTAGTCAGCCTAGTGAAGGTTCAGGTCCCCATAGCCTTCAACTCTACCCAAGGAATCGTTGCGCAGACAAGTGCTCACCCAGCAAGGCACTCTGAATGAGCTCTAAGATGTTTCGGGTGGGAACTGAGAAGGTCTTTGGGCTCAGGGTTATTGGCCCGGACTTTGAAGGACTTTATCCTGGTAGTTATCTCTAGGAGTTATCGGGTTCAAGCCCATGGAAAACATGTGAAACATTGTACATCGATGGCGCTTTCAGGACTTTCGTGCACATCCCGGTGCCTTGAAGGGATCCCGGTCGCTGCTCTTCTTGGCAGCAGGATGACTAGTAGCTTCCGACTGTGCCTGGAGCGAAGCAGCTTTGCAAACTTCCAGCACAGGGAAAATTCAAAACACCAAGCCTTGCCCGAACCTCCGAGGAAAAGACGCGTCCGAAGCTTCCAAACTGCCAAACACGCTAATCGCTTTTGAGACCCCCAGGGGATTTGAAGCTTTGGGGCCTCCGCCGGTTTTCAGACCTCTTGCACTGAACAACTCAACACAAGGACGTCCTTCAACCGAAACGCTTTGTGTGCCCCGCGGGCCTGGCATGTCTACATGTCCAAAAGTCGGGGCACAAGAAAACACACCTGCCATGGACGGAACTCCTGCTCATCACCGTCTGCCACGCGGAAGCCTTCAAAAGGACCCAAGAAGGCCCCCCTCAACTTCTGAATGAATCCTCAACTTCAAACCTACCCCCCCCCGCTGCCACCACAGCCTCGGCCTGGGCCAGCATCGCAAGCAGCGGCGCAGCCTCCATCATCAAGTCGCTCTCTTCCTGGAGTGAAGCAGACAGGGCTCTCTGTACGTTCATTTCAGGAAACTTGGGGGGGGGGGGGGCGCTAAAATTCTTTCTTTTCAGGAATCGGCTGCTTTGGGGCCTTATGTTTTCAACCTTCCAGACTCCCGAGCCCGTCAAAACAGATCTGAGTGCATAAACTTTCCGAACCTTCCCGAGATCCTGAACCCGAACTCCGGGCCAATGCCAAGAAACTGAGCAGCTCCCACAAAGCTGACCCTTCGGTGGATGGGGGGGTGTGGCCGAGGCGCTGCACGCGCATAGAGGATGGGCAGGAAGAGCTCCAGCGTGCGACCTTTCGGGGCTTTTTTTTGGTCGGCCCCCCCCCACCCCCCGAGCTTAGGAACTCTTTTGCTTCGGCGCGGGGTCCTCTTTTTTTGTTGGATGGCTTACCATTGGAAGGGAAACGCTTTTGTACTGAAACTGGCGTTTTAGGCGAGCCAACTTCAGTTGCGGAGCGAAAGGTTTGGGATTTCAGGGGTCAAAAAAGAATTTGTGATTCAGGGCTTGCGAGCTTTAGGGCAGGAAAAGCTTGGAAAGAGGCGTGGAGCAGTCCGACCCTCGTCATAGGGGATGGAACTTTAATCTCCAAAAGCCCTTGCAGGGTTGGTATTCAGATGCAGGGCTTCATTTCCAACCTTCAGTGGGCACCATTGCTTTTGTCTACTCCTGCAGCACCCAGCTCTCAACACTTGGAAACCCCTCCAAACTCCAGATTCCCGGAGCCTGTGCTAGAAATGGCTGCTAGTAGCTTCCTGGCCTGCGGGCAGCTTGCGAAGTGTCACTCTTCCCACTCGGTCCAGTGTCGCAGGAGATCCTGTCAGGGCATCGGTTAGGCCTATAAAGTTGCAGGAGTGAGTCAAGTGAAGGAAGAGATCGAGATGCATGTGAAGCATTTCCCCTTCGAAGTCCACTTCAGGCAATTCCTAAAAAATCCCTCCTTTTTTTAAATCTCTCTCTCCCTCACTCTCGGTAGCTTGGGGCAGTTCTCGTGGGGGACGGTTGAGGAGCTACAAGTTGAAGACGCCAAAAGCTGTCATCCGCAAGAGTTTGCTTCGGGCTTGGCAGAGGCTTTGCGAGGCCCAGAACAGTAGCTGGGCTTGCTGCTTTCGCAACGCAAGTCCTGTGTGCGGCATGTGGCAATACCCACAGGAGCGCCCCATTGCACACGTGCCGAGATGGAAAAACTGGCAGGGTTTACGGCACAGCTCTGGGTGACCGAAGCTTCCCTTGTTCAGGGCCTCCAGGTGCGTCTGCTCGCCGAGACACAACTGATGTCGCCGGCACAGTTCCACATTATCCTGGGAGGTTTTCATCGGTCCGTGTGGCGGTCCCATTGGAAGCGACGACGTGGTCTCAGGGCTGCGAGATTCTGACATCGAGCCCAGCTGCAGAAACATGAACTTGCCGGTGCAGGGTGTGCTCCTTCCAGTGGTATTGCGCTCTCACACAGCTACAAGGTCCGGATTTCACGCTCAAGGCGCATGCACACAGAAGAACGCACCTGGCAAAAGAAGCCCAAAACAGGATCTTAGTTTATTACGAATCTTATCCCCTTATAGTTCCTTCATGAATTTGCAATGTAAACGTTTTGCTGATGGCAGCGCTGCAAGACAGCCCTCGCTCAGCTTATCAGCTGCGTGGCCGCGGCGCCGTTCAAGGCTCACTTCCGACCTGCCAGGGTCTGGTCGTGTGCGTAAACCTCTCTGCCCAACATCGGCACCTTGTGGGCATGCCTAAAATGTCTTCAAGGCCATACTTTCCGTGGGCGCGCCCGAATCTTCAGAACATGTTGCATGCAGTTGTTGGGATGACTCGCTGCCGCTTCCCCCCCACCCAAGAAACCATCAACACACTCACCCAAAAGAGGGAGACGCACCCACAACAAGAATTGATTTAGAGACCTTACATATCCTTACATCTCATCTTCAGGAGGCCTACCCCGATAGGGAAAGTGTCCTCAGCGTAAGGGCCCCAACACGCGGGAAATAGGGAGTCTTCTGCGATTCTGCGCAATCGTAAATATTCTACACAGCCGTCACAGCTAGGACGGCAGCCACGCCAATCTAGCTTTGTCACCCTTCTCGTGTAGCTGGGGTTGAACTGCGGGTTTTTGCCAGCTAGCCACGCCCATGTTGCGTTCTTCATGGCTTTGTGATCCGGGCGTCTGGGTCGGCGACGAGGGTTAACCAGGCCAATTTTGGGCGAATTGCCCATGTGCTCAGAGAAACGCCCCTCCTCCTAAACCCCCCCTCCTCCTAAACCCGAAACCCTAAACCCTATACCCTAAACCCCAAACCCCCAAACGCCCCCAAGCCCTGCCTTGCTCGCTCAGATCCAGGAGGAGGCTGGCGACTTGACCTCTTGGGTGACTTTTGGGGGCTCGCGACTTGGGCGTTTTCAAGCCGCTGCACATCGCATCCGAAAACCTCAGCGACTCAGCGCTTCCTGTCACGTTCTGTCGCTCTGAACCTTACTGTTTGTGAGTAGGGAATGGGGGAATGGGGTACCCTATACATTCCCTTAAAGGGTATGTATAGGGCCCTAATTCCCTGATTCCCTGCTAACCAACAGTAAGCAACCGGTGGAGAGCAGCGTCCCTTCTTTTCATCCAAGTGGCTTTGCAAGTCTTTTCGCTGTTCGTCGGCCTGATAGGGTCTCTTCTTGAAATGTTCCCCCCCTTATACTGTTCGTATCAGGGGGGAACATCCCAAGTCTCTTCACAGGCTTGTTCGGATATTGGCAGTTGGGTGAGGAACTTGAGTAGAGTGTGATGCGCTTTCGGACGCTCCCCGAACGCTTTGACCTTTTTGTGCTGGTAACCCTCTTGGGAACAACTGAGTTCAGGAAACTGCGCAAACTGCGTCAAGGCAAGCTAAAAACAAACCCATCCTGCAACCCAAACAGATGCACCCCGCCTCGATCTTTTGCTGGCGCAGCATGGAGCGAAGCTCTTCCTCCCGTGGTGCACTGGACTCAGCGTTCAAGCGCCAAAACCCCGGGCCAAACCCAAAATCCCAAAACAACAGCAATGAATCCTGCTCCGCTTCCGAGCCCTCCTGAAGCTCTGAACATTCACACAAGCCGCTTTCGCACTGAAAACGAAGCCGCTTCTCTGACGACTGGAAAGGCTGAAAGGGGTCATAGCGATGAGGAAAGTGAACCTTCACTTCAAAGATGCCCCCCCCCCCCCCCTCCCGGCAAAGAAGAAGTTGCTGCGTAGAAAACGACCGTCTTGGAGTAGCCCAGCCTCCTTATCTCTTCTCTCAGCCAGGGTCTGCTGCAGGAACGCCACCTGCCCCACGAACGTCGGGTGAAGCGCTTACCCCTTACAGACGAGTTGAAAGCCATAGCATCGAGACTTCAGTCATGTTAGACGGTTAAGCTGGGCCCCTCCGCCATTTTGCCTTTACGTTGATTGACCATTTCTTCTTTCTCTCACTCTCTCGAAACAAGGCACCAGCACAAGAAGCCCGACGGAAGCCCTCGCGCCAGAGAGCGAAAGCGTAGCATTGGGCTCGCAAGCCGAATCCATCGCTCTGACCTCATGCCCACTCCTGGATCTTCAACTGTCGAAGTCTAGCACCGCCTCAAAATGACGCGCGCACTATTTCCCTCTTCATTCCGGAAGTCCTGACAATTTGAATACCTAAGTCGCCCAGTGTGCTCTGTCAAACAAGTCTCCGAGCCCAGGCCTCGCGGCGATAGCCCTCGAGGCTCCTCCCGGCTTTCATTCGCACTTTTGGGGCTAGCGGTGGATGTGCAATGATGTGCACAAAGCCCTGGAGCCCACCAAGCCTCCAGAGAGCTCCACTTTCAGCCGCTTTCTTGTGTGGGGGCTTGGTGGCGGCTGGCGGGGCGGGGGCAGGGCGTTGGGGGGGTGTGGGAGGGAAGGGGGGGTGTGGGGGGTTCGCATCCTGGTTTTTTTTTTGTTTCCTTTTCTTCTTATTCATGCAGTAGTCTTTTTTAATTGTTTTTTTATCAAAGGTGTGGTGAGAATTCGGGGCTTCCTTCGTCGTGTAAACCCCTGCTGTAGTAAGTCATGGTCCGACTCCTGCCTATTTCCAAGTGGGGTGCGGTGGGGGGTGTGAAGGCGTCCTCGCCACTTCATCATCGGCTTGCAGTGCTTGGCCAGGATCGCAGAGCGCGGATCCTGCGTGCTGGCGCCCAAATTATGACAGTCACTGCTTTGAAAATCCCTCGGCACGTTCTGGCAAGTACAAGCCTCGGAATTCTCACAAAATTTCCAAGGCCGCCTGCATAGCCGCCTTGTGCTGGCACAGCCTGGCGCAACCTGCAGTGCTGGTATGCTGGCACTTGCAGGTGCAGTTCAAGCCATCTGAAACCTTGAAGAACCTGTGAATCCGAACCTGACTTCAGCTGAAGCACCACAAGCAAATTCCTTTCTTGGGATGCGCTTTCAGAGGAAAGCTCAAGATTTCAACATCTTGAGACAAGGCTCGGCTGAGGGCGTTGAAGGGGCTTAAAGGCATCTTGGTTTCAAAGGGGAACCTCACCCAGCAAAACACACTGTAAAGAGGCCTACTGCTTTGAGGTTTAGGGGTCTCTCTCTCTCTCTCTCCCCTTTTGGGCTTCGCTAGGCCCCTGAAAGTCTTGGCTTCAGGGTAGACCCCCCTTAGCCCCTAAACCCTGGCCAAGTCCTTCAAAGCCTTTTCAAGACGGTGTAAGGAATTCCTTCGGCCGTTTTCCAGAGCGCTCTTGGGGGGCCCAAGGATGCCGGGGGGCACCTCAAGTTGTCCTGCTGGGTCCGGCAAAGCTGCTCTTGTGCCTCCAGGTTTATAAGCCGGGTCTGGGAAGCGTAGGGTCAGCCTTCATGACACAAAGGTAACACTGACCCTACTTATACCTACCCTGCTTATACCTACCCGTGAACTTCAAGTCCATGGGATGGTCTTGCAGGGCTTGGGAAAGGCTCAGACAACACGAAGCGGGTGTTCTGCATGACTCTTGACCTGTCAACCTCGCGAAGGCACGTGAAAATCCGCCGAGGCCTCGGGCCGAAGGTGTATAGGTTGTGAACACCCAACCGGTCGGACCCCTTTTTTTGCCTCAGATGGGTACCCCCCCCCCCCCCCCCGCTAGGAACCGGGATCTGCAAGCGGACGGTTCGCCAGGACCAGAGGGAGTTGAAGCCCGTCCCAGCAGCCCCCCCCCCGGGGGTTTGCTCAAGATCAAGAACCCTTGAACGTGAACCCTAAACCCAAAAACCCAAACCCCAACCCGTGAACTTTGAGCCCTAAGCCCTCAACCCTTAACTAACCCTCAACCCTAAACCCCAAACCATAAACCATCAACCCGGAACCCTAAACCCTAAACCCAACCCCTATTGCTTGGGGTCCAGCGCCTTGGGCGCTGCGGAATCACTATGCTCACGCGGATGCGCTGGGCCGGGCCGAGGCGGGTCGCGTAGCGTTAAAATTAAATAGGTCTTGCAAGCATAAGGCTCAAGCTCTCAGTCATGAACAGCTTGCGCTGATGTTGCGGCCGATATAGATGCGCTGATGTTGCGGTCGATGGGAACAAGGTGCCAGGGGAAAGGTGAGGGGTGGGGTCAAGGCAAGGCTTGGCTGGATTTTGAAGTTACAGCTTCAGGTGATCTGCTTCTGCATAGGGGGATTTACACGTAACACAGGGCAACACAAAAAACCTGAGATCAAACTGTCCTGGGAGCTTCTTCGCGTGAACAAGCTTCAAGGCTTCAAAGCTTACGTCAAGTTTTGCTTGAAGGTTTAGGGCAAAAGGGTTGAAGGGGGGCTGCTCTTTACTCCTCCTTAGCCATCCGGGCCCTGCAAATTGAAGCGTCGCACCTTCACTCGCGCTCGCTCTGCGTGCTCAAGTTTTAGCCTCAGCTTTGCGCTCCGTCAAGCCCTCCGGCCCCAAACTTGAAACCCCAAACCATACACGCCTTAAAAGGGGGCACCTATGGACTTCAGGAATTCTCATGAGCTACGGCGCTGCTTCCGTAGCTTCGGGGTGCAGGGTTTACATATAGCTGCACCATCACGCCTGCGAGATCCTGTTTGCTATGGTGGCTCGGAGATCTGGCAGAAGCTCCTACGCTGGCAGGGGTCGAGCTGCCGGAGCTTCGCGCAGTTGGGGCAGCCCAGAATGTCCCAGGACTCACGCCTGGCAGTGGCTTTTTTGGCAATTTGGAGTTTGCACCGGAGTTGCTGAGGGGCGGTGAACACCGTAACGCTGAAACCACACAAACCCCTTAAAGAGAGGTCTTTTGTGGTTCTTGTTCCTTTGGGGGTCTTTGGCTTGCTAGGGACGCTGTGAAGATCACAGAAAGCCGAGCTTTGGAAACCCGAGCTCAAGGCCCCCCAGGACATGAACCGCTAAGCTTGAGATTTTGCCCGTCCTGGTCTCCGGGATTGTG